TTTTTTTGTTTGGTTGGGGTTTTTTTTGTACAGAACTGGGGATTGGACTCAGGCCCTTGCACTTGCCAGGGAAGCGCACAGTCCACTGAGCCATCACCCCAGCCCCTTTATAGGTTTTTTGCATACCTTTTTATCTAATTACAGAAGACAAAAAAGAAACGATTTGAAATATAGTATACATGATTTCTACCAAATAGGGCGTATTCTGAACCTATTCAAGTTACCAGTTAATATTAAATAATATCACTTCTCAGCCTTTTGTCTGAGCAAGTGTATTAAATAAAATTATTCCACAGCTTAATCTTTCCCTAATAAGCTCAAAGTAAAAATCCTTGGAGAGCCGGGCCTGGTCATGCACACCTGCAGTCCCGGTGCTCGAAGAGGCTGAGGCAGGAGGATCACGAGTCTTAATCCAGCCTGGGCAACTTATCGGCTTAGTGAGATCCTGTTTCAAAATCAAAAATAAGGGTCTGGGGAAATGGCTCAGTAGAATAAGTGCTTGCCTGGCAAGTGCAAGGGCCTGAGTTCAATCTCTGGTTCTGCCAAAAAAATAAATAAATAAAAAAGTAGCACACTCACTATGGAGGCTCTGGGTTCAGTCTCCAGGAGCGCGCACACACACACACACTTAGGGAAACATTGTTAACATTTGCATTCATTCATTTACCCATCCACTCATGTGACTGAACCAGTGACCTAATCGTGAGAGCTGGTATATTAAGACGAAATAAATGCCACTGAGTGATTTTGTGCAAGTAAGAAGGCAGGATGTGGATCACAAGGGGTCAAAGGCGGGACTGGCCCCTCCTGCCTGGGCCCAGTACGGCAGCCCTGGACCCATGAGTCTGTGCCGATGCGCGTGGGGCGGGGGTCGCTCCAGGGAGAGGGACAGAGGCCCCGAGGCCAGCGCAGGGCGGGAACTTGGTGGCCATCAGGTCGCTTGCTGCGGGTATGTGCAGGATAAGGAGCGTCGTGCATGACAGAAACACCAGATGATGGCGAGTTATGTGGCCACGCTGTCTCCTGTACTGCAGGACACAGTGTGGCCAGTCAGTGTCCTGGTCAGGAAGGGGGCTGCTACAGCTGGCCCTTGTGCTGGGCTGTGTTCCCCCTGAGTGCCACAGCTCTGCCCAGCCTGGAATTTGAATCCCATGCCTGGCTGAGATAGGTGACATCTTAGTTGTGGGGTTATCAGAATCCCCCCAAATGGGGCCGGGGAGATGGCTCAGTGGAATAAGCACAGGCCTGAGTTCAATCCCTGGTTCTGCAAAAAAAAAAAAAAAAAAAAAAAAAAAAAAAAGCCTGCTGGGGCTGACGCACCACTGTGACCAGGCCTGCGCCCCCTTGCAGGTTCGGAAGCACCATCGAGAGCTGGAGGCCCGAGATGGTTCCTGTGAGCCACGACAACTTGCAGAGCGCCTGGAGGTAGGTGACAGCAGCACGGTGCTGCTGGGCGTGCGGGCGCTGCTGTCCCCTCCATCCCTGTCTCCCACCCTCCACAAGCCAAGGACACAAGTCAGAACATATCTTCCTGTCCACTGCACTGTCCTCGGGCCCTAGCGGTGCCCGCGCCAGCTCACTTCCTCTTCCCCAGGTGGGCCCTGAGCCTGCAGTGCCGTGGCAGCAGGAATGTCCTCAGCGCCCTGCGGAAGGTTCTGGAAGTGGACTTCAGGGACAGGGACCAGCACCTGTCGCAGGGCATCTACCTGCTCACAGGCGGAGTCCCCGACCAGGATGTGGTGGGTGGGCCCTGCTGTGCTGCTGTTTACTGGCTTTTGTGGCCCTGCCTGTCATCCCCTAGGTGGATGCTTCAGTGACTTCTCTGTTTCTGTGTGTTCTGGTGGTGCTAGTGGCGGACCTCAGGGCTTTGTGCATGTGAGGGAAGAGCTTTCACGCTGAGCTGTTTCCACCCCAGCATGGCTTCTGACCCAACCCCACTAAAGCAGTAACATGCACAGGAACCTGGGAAGCTGGTCAGCAGGCGGCTCCCACTCCCGGGGGCCTGGGGGAACATGAAGCCAGGTTTCTGACAAGCATGCTGAGACGTGGATGGTCCTGACCACAGATACTCTCAGGAACCAAGCTTTCAGCCAGCTCTGAGTTGTACCTATTTGGGTGTAGCGTGAAGTTGTGGCCCCGACTCTCTCTGTCTCCAGTGTCAAGTACTGGAGCAGAGCACAGCAGGCTTCCAGAAAGTTCCCAGTGGTGCACACCTGGACACACCTGTGTGTCAGGGCATGTCACAAGCTCAAGGCCAGCCCAGGCAACTTAGTAAGACCCTGTCTGTGATTTAGCCCAGAGGCATAAACACCTGCCAGGCAAGTGCAAGGTGCTGAGTTCAATCCCAGGTACCAAAAAAAAAAAAAAAAGGTTGAAGATGCAACTTAGTGTTAAGGCCCTGAATTCAATGCCTGGTATAGAAAGGAAGAGAAAAAGGAGGGAAGGGAGGAGGGAGAGGAGAAGAGAGAGAGAGCGCGCATGCGCGTGCTGAACTGGCACTCCCCGGCCCTCAGCTTGGCCCGTCCCTTCTCTTCCCCTACAGCCCACACTCAGTGCCTATGTGGCTGAAAGCTGTGGGGGCTGCGACCTCCAGCTGAACGTGTGTCTCTTCTCCGTGGGGGAGCCGCAGGTGGACAGCGACCCTCCTGCCCGCTACGCCAGCCGCACAGACACAGCCAGCGCCTACAGGGCGCTCGCCTGGGCTACTGGTGGCCGCTTCCACTGGTTTGGAGACACATGTGCGTGAGTGTTGCCTGGTACTTAGGCCTGTCTCTTTCCAGAGTTGTCCCAACACCCGCGCAGCTTACTTATGCCATTGGCATAAAAAGCAGACTCTGAAAATCGTATTTTAAAATGTGCATGTAGCCAGGTGTGGCGGTGCACGCCTGTGATCCCAGCACTTGGGAGGCCGAGGCAGGAGGGTCGTTGTGAGTTTGAGACCAGCCTGAGCTACAAAGTGAGCTCAAGGCCAGCCTGAGCTGCATAGCAAGCCCTGTCTCAAAAAGACAAAGTGTATATGTAAACCTAGAGGCAGAGTACGTTTAGCATTTTTGAGGATCTGTTTCAGTCCCAAACATAAAATTAAATTAAATTACTGTTCTGGAAGAGAACAGTGGCAATGACTGCCTGATGCAGGAAGACACACACTACTGCTGAGCTGCACACATAGAAGTGATCGAGGACTGGCGCCTTGCAGCCCGGGGCTAGGCTGAATGCTTCTGCTGTGTGTACGAGGCCCTGCCATCCAGAAATGCCTATTTTAGTACACTTTTAAATTTCAAGGTAAAATTTGGAAAATACTTTAGATAGATCTAGTAAGCACCTTGAGATCCCACAGGATAGCTTTCCCAGAGTGTGTGATGACCACAACAGTCCACAGTTGGTTGCGAGTGGCACAGCATTTGTGTGTGCGGTAGTTATGTGCTTAACCGTATTGAAGGAAGAGGCTGACTTGCCATCGTTGGCAGGGGCGTTAATTTTCTTTTTCAAATATGCTAAAGTGAACAAATAGTGTATTAAATGCATATATACGTGTGTGTGTGTGTGTGTGTGTGTGTGTGTGTGTGAATGGCTTTGGTGGCCCAGAGACACAAAAAATACTTCAGGATGTGGAGGTGACAAACGGAGGGACACAAGTGCCTTCCACCGGCCCCCAGCTCAGACAAAGAGGTGACTCGTGGAGATACGCCACACATGTGGTCACAGTGTCAGCGCATGACAGGAGCTGAGTGTCTTGGGTGTTTCCCTGCTTTTTCTTCCCATGAAAAGTGCTGGTGGGCATGTGCACTCACCAGTGATTATTACTAATGATGGCAAATATCTGCTAGAACAGCTAGTGGGTACCAGGCACAGATCTAAGCCTTTCACGTGTGTCACGGCTCACTCCTCACTATAACCCAGTGACTTAGAGATTACCCACCCCAGTCTGCAGACAGGAAACTGAGGCACAGAGCCCGAAGGCCAAGAGTTGAGCCCAGGCAGGCCAGTGCTAGGGTCTGGCGTTGTAGCCAGGCAAGGCATTGGTGTCCGTGACGCAATCTGAGGATGGTCCTTTAATTACATAGAGAGGTGGGACCTTTGCACTTGGCCCCCTCTTCCTGTAGGTGTCAGGGCACTGGGTTCAGGTCAGCCCCACAGCTGGCAACCACTCACTGCTGGACAGTGTTGAGGGGGGCGGGCGGGTCACCCGATGGACGTCTCACCCTGTCCTGGGCTTGAGTGGCCACATGTGGCTCTGCTGCACCCAAGCATGGCCGGGTGTGCACCTCCTCCCCAGTCCTCACAGTGTGCTTTCCCTCCAGGCATTTACGAGAGTGATGACATCGGTGCCATCCAATCTGAGATGGGAAAGGCCCTCAGTTACTCCCAGAAGGTACGGCCAGATGTCTCTGCTGGTTTCTGTGCTCCTTTCTGGGGACTTCCACAGTGAAGTAGTAGAAACTGGGTAGCTGAAAATGAGAGGTGTTTATTGTCTTACGGTGCTGGGGGCTGCAAGTCTGAAATCAAGGTTGCCAGCTACCTTCGGCAGCCTTGCCCCTTCTTAGCTTTTGGTGAGGGCCCTCGTTTGGGGGGAAAAATTGTACGAAATGCTTGCTACAAAAGGCAAAGAATTTACATATTTAAGACCACTGGGATAGAGGAGAGAGACTGAACTCAACTCTAGACAGCAGCAAAGATAAGTGGGGATTTTTTGCCAGTGAGCAGTCAGTACATCACCAGACGGGGGTTGAGGAGGCACCCCCAAAAGGAGAGGAGGACCTGGCCTCACCACAGCTATGCTGTAGGTTTGCTGACTCATGTTACAGAAAAAAATGTCAAGTCAGTGAGTGGCATAGAAAGGTTTGCTAGGCAGAATGAAAGACGTACACAGTCAGAATAGAGTCCAGGCCCTTGAGAGTGCTTCAGGATCTGGGGGTGGCGAGGGCTGTCATCTGGTCTTGGGGGTCCAAAGGATTGGGGATGTAAGGGTGTGTATATTCCTGTCACCTGTCAGGCAACCCATCTGTGGGCTGTATTAGAATCCGAGCGATTGGCAAGCTTTGGAGTTTAGGCTTATGCTGCCCACTCAGTGGGGCTTGAGGGTGGAAGTCCACGGGAGACAGCAGTTCATAGGCAGAGAGCACGGCCAGTCTGCAGGCTCACTGCAGGTTCATTCTGAGTTTCTTGTAAGAGAAAACAACATTATGGCCTTGAGTAACTGAGTTTTCCTTAAAAGTACAATTTTAAAACTATAATTTTCCTTGTCTCTTTTTTACTTACCTTTATTTCTTCTTTCCTCCCTCGAGTGGATGGGAAATTACTAAAAGTAACATGATTGACTATCAGGAGCAGGGAATTCTTGCTAAGCTATCAGGGGTGCGCGGCGGTCACTGAGCTGGCTTAGCAGAATTCCTGGTCCTAGGCTGGAGGCCTCCCAGAGGAGATGGCTCTGAGGAACCAGACCACAGCTTGGTACAGGGAGGAGGCCTCACCCTCGGCCGCGCTTGGCCCTCCTGGGCTCCGGGAAGCATAATTGCGATTTCTGCCTTCATCTTCTTACGGGGTCTTCCCTACGTGTGTCTCTCCAGTGTGGCCTTATCTTAACTCACTTCCCAGTTTACACCTGCAAGGGCAGTGTGTGGCCTCTGGCACACTAGGCAAGGGCTCTGCCGCTGAGCTGCAGCCCTCGCCCAAGTTCTCCGCAGTGTCCTAATCACTCACACCCAGGGCTTCCAAAGGACAAGAGGATTTCCTGTGTCATTGGTTTTCGGCCCGTACGCTGTGGACTATGTTCTCTGGCCTCCCAAGCCATTTCCCGTGCTGGCATTCCCCTGCTGGGTCTTCCATAGCTTGTTCTCTATTATGCAAGGTTCAGTAAAATATTAGTTCTTCTTCTCAGGGGTCAGGAACATCACAAGGTGCCACTAAAGAGGTAGGAAATGGCCATGTCAGGAGCAAGGAGAATGGAAATAAGCAGACAGGAGAACACTTGGGAAGAGCTGACCAGACTTGGAGCTGGTACAGCGTGCAGAGTGACCAAGGAGGAGCCAGAGCAGGGCGCGAGTTCTGCACTGGCAAGTGTCGTAGGCGGTGGTGCTGTTCACAGAAAGAAAACAGGGAGCTTGTAGGAGGCTTGGGGAAGGGACAAAAGCAATTTTATGGGCCTAAGAAGTCACAAGTGAGGGTGCCCTACAGACAGGTGGAAAGAGATGGGCTGGAGACAGGAGCCTGGGACCATCCAAGCCCTGGGGAGGGAGGGTGGGAGGGAGGCCTTGCAGGGCCCTCAGTCAAGGCAGCGTGGGGGCCTTGGAAGAAGGCTTGTCCTTGTTGCGTGTCAGTGTGGCTGTCTCCCCGACACAGCAGTGGTCTCTAGAGGGCAAGACCAAGCCTCGGTCTTTCCCACCACGGCCACGGCATCATGGACTGTGGCCCCCCCAAAGATGCCTTAGCCGCCCTCCTGAAGGGGCTCCTGCCGCTCTGTAACTCCCTCCTGCTCCTTTGTACGTAGTAATGGATAAAATGGCTAAATCTACCCTTCATTGAGGGGCTTATTTGCATCAGTCCCTGGTGCTTCAGCTGAGAATAATTCCTGGAGAAGTTTCGGGGCTTTTGAGCCGTTTGCAGGCGAGGGACCAGGCACGATGCTGTGGCTTTTCTCCCAGGTGCCGTAAATGCCAAGAAGGACTCCGGGCTTAGGCCCTGGAGCACCCTGGGCCTGGATGGAAGCTCCTCCACCTCCCAGAGGTGGGGGCCCGGGGCCGGAGCACCCCAGGTCTCCCATTGAGGAGACTGATTATTGTTCTTAAACATCCACAGCACTGAGCTGCAGGGACACTTCAGAGACAGAGAGAGGTGTGAGGGGTGCAGGGCCTCTTTCCTGAGTGTGTCCGTCCACAGTGCCACTAGCCACCCTTCCCAATCCTTGTCCTAGTGCGCCCTACTAGTGGCCTCCCTGAAGAACCATTTGAGAAGAGAACTGGAAAGCACAGCCCTCTCTAAAGAAAAGCCGAAGATGCTCAAGCAAAGAAGTCAGCCCAAGAGAGCCTCTCTTCCCAAGCCTACAGCCCCCTCGCTGGCCAAAATGGTTTGACTCCTCCCTAATAACACACAGAGGATGGCGTTTTCACTTTGCTTCCTGATCTGTCCTAGCTCTTAAAGTGACTAGGGCAAGGCTCCCAGGCCCCACAGCCATTTGGGTGGAGGCAGGGGGTAGTGGGGTGTCCCCCGGGTGCCTCCCGCCCATCGTCCAAGGAGAAGGCCTGCTCTGCACTCAATTCTGGTGGCATCTCTGGTCTCCCTCCCCTCAGCTCACGCTCTGCCTAGCTGTCGCAGGTTTGTCCCTTTGTCTGGTACTGGGGACTCTGTGGAGTTGTCGCTCATGACTACATGCAGCAGCTTGTCCTGGGAGGGCCTCTCAGGGGCAGAGGAATGTGTCTGAGCCTGGACTTAGTGGGGCTTCCTGGGAGCTGAGTGCCTGCGAGGCCTACCGCCACCCGCAGCCTGTGAAATACGCACTGTCCCAAGTGCCCACCCACCCTCAGAAAGCAGACGGGGCCTTGAGAGGGGGAGTGGAGCAACCGGGATTCCTCGGCTGCTCTGTGACAGGCCTTGGTGAGCCCAGCACACATGCAGCGTGAAGGCTGCCGTCCAGGACAGCACGCAGCTGCCTTCCCAGGGTGTCCTGTGCACACAGGCCTGCCTTGTCCGAAGAACTCTCGCGGCTTTTCACATGTCACCTCTCGTGCCTTCCCAGATTTGGGGGAACACTAAAATTTTAAGTCTGCCTTTGAGATCTTCAGTGGCTCCTGAGCCAATCAAGCAAGAAGCCATAGGCTGTGGCACGGCCTCCCGCAGGCCTTCAGAGCTGGGGGAGCCCCAGCCAGGGCCCCTGTGCAGCCGCCCACCCGGAGGTCCCCTTCACTGGCGCGAAGCCCCAATTCTCCGCCTGCTTTTGCCACACTCCAGTGGTACTCAGTGAGGCAGAACACCCACCCTGCTTAAGACCAAGGTGCCCAGGAAGGCCCAGAAACCACCCGGATAGGTTGCCGTGCTAGCCACCCAGAAATCGCAGCTAGTGGGACAAGCGACAGATAACTGCTGGGGAACACTGGCAAGTCCCCACGGCTGTCGGGTATGCCGTCTCGTACCACACATGTTCCAAGGCACGTGCACAACTTTTCACCCCAGACCCTCTGAACTTTCTGCAAGAGATGGGCCCAATGTGCGAGGAGCTGACTTCTTAGGGTTACCCCTGCCAAGCTCTCGTTGACAGAAAGAAGTTGGGGGGGTGCTGCCTGCCCCGGAATAAGGCCTGACGGGAAATAGGGCCTGTTTTCTAGAACCTTAAAGATGGCCCAGAAGGAGAGAGGAGCCCCCTGCCCAAAGCTCTGAGATATCATCTGCTCGGTGGCAAGGCGGGCGTCTCCCCAGGTACGGCAGGCGGTGGGGGGGGGGGATGGCTCAGACTCTGCTGGGGTGGGCTTGGTAGTGCTGGAGAGAGTCGCAAGGGAGCGCACACCTGTGGTCCCAGCACTCCGAGAGGCTGGGCCAGGAGGATCGCAAGCTTGAGCCCAGCCTGGGCAATTTAACAACTTGCCAAGACATTGTTTCAAAATAAAAAATAAAAACAAAAAGGGGCTAGGGATGTAGCTCAGCACGAAGGCGTGAGTCAGGCCCAGGCGTGATGGGTGTGATGGTGACAGTGACAAAGTCACCAGCAGTCACCAGTCCTGTCGCATGCTGCATGCCTTCTGGGAGGGTCCTGCAAAGAGCCTGCAATGCCCGGTCCCGAGCAGGGCATTCTCTGAGGTCCTCTCTGAGTCTCAGGCTCACAGAGACTCCAATTTGCCATCTGGTGGGGACAACCGATCAGCGTTTATACAGAAGCCCTCAGCTCATCAGCTAATGACCATGCGTCTCTCCTGCGAGGTCACGCACGCAGCAGGCTGGCTCTGGGCCGAGCTCTGGGGTCAGCAGGACAGGGTGACGTCTTTGCTCTGCCTGCTAGCTCTAACTCCCACTTAGCTCATCTGTGACCGCGTGGACAGTGAGGATGAAGTGATGCCATAACAAAGCGCGTACTGCCTTGCCTGGTGGATGTTGGGACTTGGGGACAGGAACCAAGTCCCGGCTGCTCCGGGAGCGGCCTGGCAGGGACTCAGTGCTCATTTCCAGCTCATTTATGGGGGGCAGATGATAGTTAATATCTCTAGTCAGGCTATGATAAGGCCACCCTGCCAACTAGCCTAACATCTCTCTAGCCCAGCCCATGGAGGAAGGGACAACAGCCTGGAGGAGGAAGACCAGGGTGCGGGGGGCAGAGACGACTCTGTCCCTGTTCTATACAGAGACCGGGAATGCCATAGGTAAGGTAGAGACCACAGGCACCCTGGCCCTGGGGGAACGGGAGGCAGCGGCCTTGGATAGGAGACCCCTACAGCTGCCCCGGGACCTGCCCTCCCCGCAGAGCTGTGGAGTAGGCCTGTCCTCAGACAGGGAAGTGGGTGACAGGAGGGAAGTCAGTACCGAAGGTGAGAGCTCCCTGGTCCTCAGGCAGCTTCCTTAGCCCCGAGGCAGGTTGGGAAGGGGATGGAGGAGGGTCCTCGCCAGCCTGGTGGACAGCGGTGAGGGAACACTAAGCGTCCCCATCCTCAGCCGCTCTCTGCCGTGCAGGGAAGAGAGGTCCCAAGCCCTTTGCCTGTCTACCTGGTAGCCAGCCTTCCCATCTCTCCAGCAAACTCCAGCTAAGGAGTTTTCCATCTGACTCGGCTGGCAGAGAAGCTGATGCTAAAAAGGAAGGGTGGTGGGAGGAGGAGGGAACAAAGATGTGCAGGGTCACCTTGCTGTGCTTTTCCTAGGCGCTGTATACAAGAAGTACCCTCAAGGAAGGCGTGTAAGGGCCAGCACTTCTGTGGAGCTGCCCAGGAAGGACATGGTGTGCTCGAGCCAAGAGGTACTCAGCTGTCCAGGCCACATAGCTCTCAGACTGTGATTGTTCCCGCTGGGCATGGTGGCGCATGCCTGTAATCCCCGCGCTGGGGAGCCTGAGACCGGAGGATCACTGTAAGTCCAAGCTGCATAGCGAGACCCTGTACCAACAATAACAACAGCAAAATAAAACATAAGAATATTAAAAAGAAGAAAAAAGATGAGGAAGAGGAGGAGGAGGAGGAGGAGGAGGAGACTCCTTAATGTTGCAAGTAGGTAACAGTTGGGTGGACCTAAGTTTGAAGTCTGAGCCTTCTTCCCTTTCTGGCGAGGCGATCTTGGGCACATCATGTAGCTGTCCTCATTCTCAGTGTCTCTGTAAAATGAAGACTAGAGCTGAGAGACGGGCGTGGTGATGCATGCAGGAGCCCCAGCCCCCCTGGGAGCCCACACCTGGAGGACAGGCAGCTGGACAACGTAGTAAGGCCTTGTCTCAAAATTTAAAAAAAATGAGCCCAGGGAGCAAGGTGGTTGCGCGAAGACATGACGTGTTTTGCGGGAAGTGCGTTAATGACAGGTCCTTTTGGTTGCAAGCAGCAGAAACCTCTCACTTGCTTGCTTGTTCTTGAAGCAAGGCCTTATAGTCTATATTGGCCTTGAGCTCACTACTTGCCCACCCTGGCCTTGACCTTGTGGTGATCCTCCTGCCTCAGCCTCTTGACCATAGGAATGACAGACATACACCACAAACCCACTTTAGAATCCCCTTCTCGGGGCCAGGGAGATGGCTCAGTAGGATAAGCGCTTGACTGGCAAAAGCAAGGATCTAAGTTCAATCCCCGGTTCTGCCAAAAAAAAAAAAAAAAGAATCCCCTTCTCGTTCCTATCATCTTCCTTCTTACAGTCATTCAGTGAAAGCCAGCATGGTTCTGACTGGCATGTCCTGCGTGCCACATTTGGCTTGCCCTGAGGCTGCCACGCCGGCATCTCTCACTGTGAGGCCCAAAGTAGCAACTGCTTTAGAGGCTGAGCTTCAAACCCACTGGGGGAGGGTTCACGTGGATGTTGGAGAAGCAACAGTGTTGCCTAGAAAGTGCTCCATGCATTTTGTTGCATTTTGTTTCTGTTGCCCTGTTTCTTGTGCCTTCTCCCCCTGAGCTAGGTAGAGAATCTGCCATGGAGCGGGATCGGGGAGGACCCTGGAGCGTCACACTTTAAACTTGAGAGTTTTGGGGTTTTTTATATGTTTAGTACAGGGTCTCACTACGCAGACTGGACTCGTAGTGATCCTCCTGTTTTCAGCCTGCCAAATGCTGGGATTGCAGGCACCGTGCCCAGTCTCAGCGCACCCCCGGGGCAGGGCTGGCACAGCACACAACCCAGATCCCGGCACTTGCCTAAGCAGGCGCTTTAGTCCTCTGAGCTATCTGGCCAGCCCTCAAACTTGAGGTCTTAACAGAAGAATCAGTCAGGCTCGAGTCACCTCCAAAGAAGTTCTTCTCTTTATTCTAAAGTGGGTAGCAAATTACGGGCTGAAAAAACTGAAGATGGACATAGCCAGGTGCCTGGGTCCCAGCTGCACCCACCAGAAGTCAGCGCCGAGTTCAGCCAAGCACTGCGCCATCCTCCCCAGCGTACAGGCCCACGTGAGTCCACCCGTGTGCTCGTTTTCCTCCTGTCTCTGTCTCTCATCCGCTGCGGACAGCAGAAAGTTGAGCCTCAGCCTCAGCTTGTGGTTTGCTCTAGAGCCCAGCCCCAGAGTGTTGACTTCCATCACCCGACAGGGGCTACAGGACCCTGTTGCCAGAAACAGCTGAGCCCCTGGAGGGCCAAGTTGCCCTGCATGGACACAGGCTCGGGAGGACCAGACATAAGCTGGTGACCACCGAGGTGTCCTGTAACATAGCTGGATGCCCCGGCCTTGATGGCAGCCCGGACAGGCCGGCAGTGAAGCAGGTGGGGACAGGAGGCAAGGCCCCCTTTCTTGATTCTCTAGTTTAGGCACAGTGGTTTTTTCTATTGTTTTGATGCTGGGACAAGTAATTTTAGTACAAAATGAAAATGCAATCCTTTCCCTCTGTGCCCTTTCATATCACATGAGCATTAGAGGGAACTAAAAGTAGCCACAAAATTCAAAATTATCCATCAAAAGAACTTTGGTCATTTTTAGTCTGCCAGTTTGAAATGTATGATTCGCCAATGCCACCACCAAGGGTTTCCCATGTAGAACTCGGAGATACCACAGCTTTTGTTGCTCCTGTCGTGGTCATGACAGTGGCGAGCTCGCGGCAAAAGCACCGCGCTGACCTCCCCACTTCTTCGTACAACCAGAAGCTCGGGAGTTCAGTACGGGGAAGAGTGTTTAGGTGAACAGCAGCGTGTGCTCGGCAGGTGGCTGGGCACTGCGGCTCACGAGGGACTCGGCCGTCCGGGGCAATCGTGTGAGGCTGCGGGCGGTGGCAGCTCCTAGCTGTGCTGTCTCTGTCTCTGCCTTGGCTCAGGGCGTGGTGAGGCACCTGCAGAGGACGCTCTGGGAGATGGACGTGTACATCGTGCGCCTCAGGGAGCTGATGGGCTGCTACGTCCGGCGGCTGCAGTGGCTCCTCTCTGGTGAGTCTGCTGCTCTCCAGATGCTGCAGGCAGGGCGAGGCTGACCACGGGGACGCAAGTGCTTCACCCAGGCCCGGTGCAGCAGAGTCAGCCCCAGGGAGCAAGCCAGGATGGTCCTGTATGAGCGGCACGGGTTTGGGGTTCAGAGGTCAAGTGAGGTGCAGGGTGGCAGAGGGGGAGCAGGCCTTGGAACCCCAGAGAGAGCTCATGCTGTCGGCGCCCCACAAGGCCACCTGCACACATTGCTCATGTGACTTAGGCTCCCCTCACAGGGCCATCTAGCTGCCCTCAAGGTGTAGATGGGGTCCCAACCAGGCAGAAACCCCCGTTGTTATTACCAGAGAGGGCGGAGTGGAGGAACAGGGAAGGCAGGTGAGGAGGGCCAGGGCGCCATCTCAGAGGAGGCCATCTGGGCATTAAGGGAGAGAGGAGGAGGCTTGCGGCCCGAGGACTCCAGGGACAGCAGGAGGGAGGAAGAGGGCCTCTCACAGCTCTCTGTCCCTGTCTCTGTGTCTCTCAGTCTCTGTCTCTATGTCTCTCTCTCTGTTTCTCTCCCTCCCTCTCCCTCTCTCTTCTCCTTTTCTTGCCTCTCCTTCTCTCCCCTGCCCCTTCTCCTTCCCTTTCCCCTCCTCTCCCTCTTCTCTCCTCTTCTCTCTGGGGCCAGGGAAGGGGTCACTGAGCTCAGGAAGAATTCGGTTCAGGAGGCAGATGCTAGGCAAAGACTCCCAACAAGGTGAGCGTCGCAAGTGTGGAGAGAGGAGCCTGGTGCTCCCAGGAGCACTGGCCTGGGCAGGGAAGTCAAGCGCTTCCCAGGGCAGGTGATGCTGCTGGGGCAAAGCTCCGAAGACTGCACAGCTCTTGGGAAAGCAAGAGACGGCCTTGGCCTGGGCTGCTGAGCCCCGACTGGCTGCTGAGGATGGACTGCGAGGAAGGGGGCCAGCATGGGCCGAGTGAGTCCAGGGTGAAGCCTGAGATGGGCCGTGGCTTGGACAGAGGCCATTGAAGGGTTTAGCTACGAGGACAGCATTCAAGTCAGTGCTTGGGAAAATGCCCAGGGCTGCCCCTTGGAGATAAGTTCTCAAGAAGGGGAGGGGTGGCGTGGGCGCCTGTGTCAGCCCAGACAGAGAAGAAGCAGCTGAAAGCCAGGTGTTCTGGCACAGCACCTGAGACCCCGCAGCTTGGGAGGCTGAGGCAGGAGGGTCACAAACTCAAGCTCAGCGTGGGCAGCATAGCGACTTAATGAGACACCACCTCAAAATTAAAAAATAAAGGTCTGGGAATACAGCCCAGTGTGAATGTGCTGCATTTCGTCCTCGGTACTAGAAAAAAGTAAGGCATCTGGGAAGATCAGCCACGATGGAGACGCAGGGGTAGGCAGAGCTAGAGTCTGTGGTCGCAAGGCTGAGCCCGCGCTGTCCCCGCTGGTGGTGACTGGACGAGGGAAGCGCTCACAGGGCTCCCCGCCCACTTCCGCCTGGCTTCCCCTGAGCCCCCTCGTCGGTCAGTGGGGGCACTGGAAGGATCGCCCCACGGTTCTGGAGGCCCCTGGCAGCCCCCTTCTCCCAGGGAGCAGCTGGCCTACCACGGCAGCCTGTCACTTCTGCCGCCTCTGTCCCCTTGGAGCAGGGAGTCGCCGGCTCTTCGGTGCCATCTTGGAGAGCAAAGTGTGCGTCTTGGTGGACACGTCCGGCTCCGCTGGCCCCTACCTGCAGCAGGTGAAGGCGGAGCTGGCCCTGCTGATCTGGGAGCAGCTGCGGCAGCGCTGTGACAGGTGGGCGACCCAGCTGCTTGGGCAGTCAGGGCGGGCTGGGGATGGCCGCTGGGTTCCGGCCAAGCACACTTCCTCCCGCTCTTCAGCCAGCCTGGACGCTCCCTTGAGTAGCAGCGCACGGGAAGGACCGCTGCAGTCTGCTGTGACGCAGCAGAGAGAATGATTTTTAGGGTTCCACTTCAGCCGAAACGGTTAGAAGCACAGCAAAGGAACCATCTCATGGCCTTGGATTTACTTTTCAGCTGGACTTTTTCCCCAGTTCTGGAGATTAAAGCCGGGATCTCTCTCCTGCTAGGAAAACGGCCTGCAATCGGCCTACAACCCAGACCTCAGTGGTGACTTCTTCTGTGGGACAGGATTGAAGCTGGGGCCTTCTGCGCCGGGCTGCATTCTAGCCTTTTGGTTTTCACTTTTGGGCACGTTCTCACTACATTGCTGAACTGCCCAGGCGGGGCTCAGACTTTATATCCCCCCAGCCTTGGGTTCTCCGAAGCTGGGGTTACGGGCATGCACCGCCGTGCCTGATCTGAAGCTGACGCTTTCAAGTGTAGGAAGTTGTCCTTTTTACCAGAAAGAGGAGAGCAACATGCTCTAGGTGGTTGCCTTTATGTTACGAGGAGCAAACACTCACTGGGGACTTCATGTGTGACGGGCACTGTACATATATGACTTCCTCTGTCCTTAGAGAGGCCAAATATCTTGCCCAAGACCACATACGCAGTCAGTGGCGGGGCTTGGGGTTACACCCATTTCTGTCCTGGGGTTCTCGACCTCGCCTGGGGCCACTTATTTCATGCAGTGAGGTGTCCTCATGCCACAGCCCAGCTGAATTCAGCACAGGCCGCTCTAACCAGCTGCTCTCTGCCCTCCATCATGCCTTTTCTCTTCTCCCCAGTTTTAACCTGCTCAGCTTTTCAGATAGCCCACAGCCATGGCAGGACACCCTGGTGGAGACCTCGGATACAGCCTGTCATGAAGCCATGCAGTGGGTGACACACCTGCAAGCCCAGGGGGGCACCTCAATCTTGCAAGCACTGTCGGCAAGTAAACCCTGACGAGTAGGAAAAACACCACCATCCCCACCCTGGTGTTGCATGACTTACAAAACATTTCTCATCTTCCCAACAACCCAGTGAGGCAGGACTCTTGTTTTCACTTTAACATGAAAACAGAGGGACCCGGGGACATAGCTCAGCAGTCTAAGTGCCTGCCTGGCAAGCACAAGGACCCAGGTTTGATCCCCAGTACTGCATGCCATGCTGGCCACCGAAACCATGCCATGGTGGCGCACACCTGTAATCCCAGAGCTGGGGAGGCTAAGCCCAGAGGATCACTGTGAGTCCAAGCTGTGTAGCGAGACCTTGTGTCAAATAGATAAATAAATAAATAATTTTTAAAAATGAAGACAGAGGCTCAGAGAGGTTAAGCAATTTTCTTGGGGTTAATCAGCGAGGCAGCGGGCTGTACTCTCATCCCCAAATGTCAGCAACTTCCCTGATCTGTCTTAGGCTGAAGTGGCAGCCTCAGCCAAGGGTCAGGTCTATAGCACCCAGTCAGACATGGTTTCCTCAGGGATAGCAGGGACCACGGTCACCCCTTCCTGGTGGCTCCTGTCTCCCACGGCTGACCACAACCCTGTGCCCTCCCAGAAAGCATTCAGGTTTCACGATGTGCAAGGGCTATACCTGCTGACTGACGGGAAGCCTGACACAAGCTGCCACTTTGTCCTTGACGCGGTCCGAAGACTCCGGGAGGACAGGGACATAAGGGTGCACACCGTCTCCCTGAGCTGCACGGACAGGTGGGCGGTAAGGGGTCAGCTGGCTTCTTCTCTGGGGCCACCTCCCTGGGGCGAGGGCTCTGAGCTTCTTACCTCCCTAGACACTGGCCTGGCCTCAGCCCTTGTCCTATAAGTCAGGAAACAGGAAATTGTTATGGAGGGTCTGGGTAGTGTCACACCACAGAGCGAAGGCGCCTTTCCTGCCCCAGATGGACCCAGGCACAGCCCACTCTTCTGTGAATGCAACCTGGTTCAGTCATGTCGCCTTCTCCCACCCAACCTTTTTTGGGAACACAGTTGTGAGCAGTTAGTCGGAGATGGGCACATTCACATCTGTGCATGTTAGAGGGGACGCATCACAGATCCACACAGTACCATCGTTTGTACCAGCAATCACTACAGAAGAATGTACATTAGATGAGACTCAGCTTCTTCAGCACAAGGAAGCGAGCCCGGAAACTCTTATGTCCTGAGGATGTAGCTTGGCAGCGAATGCTCAGCACGTAGAAGGCTCTAGGTTGATCCCTAGTACCCAAGCAAAATGAAACCCTTTATTATTGGCAAAGCTGTTACTTGTGCACATGGTTTCTTTCTCTGCCTAAGTTGTGAGCTTAAGCATGATCCACGTAGCACAGGACAGAGACCAGTAAAGGAGAAGCCTGTGCTAGCTGTGTCTTTTGAGGGCCAGGGCCAAACGGCAACAGCGACACAGTGAATCTCATTAGATAGCAGAACGTGGATGTGGTGATGCTAGCAGTGGTCCCAGTGGTGCAGAAGGCCACCGCCGGGCCCTTCCCTTAGCTCTGTAGACTCGAGTTCTCCACAGGCCTGGGGCTCAGCGGGCCCTACCCCACCCCAGCGAGCCCAGGCCTCTGCTCCTTCTCTAGAGCAGCGCTGGAGTTCCTGAAGGCGCTGGCTTCCCTCACCGGCGGCCGTTTCCACTGCCCGGTCAGTGAGGACACATTGCACAGGATCCACAACCTGCTCAGCAGGGGCTTCGTCGAGGAGGGGGTAGGTCGTGCATTGCTGAGGGTCAGCTGGATAAGGGGTTTGGCTCCAAGAACCATTCACACCAGTGGGTTTCCTTCCGAGAGCTGTTTCTCTTGTAACACAAAATGTCACCAAATGCACTGTGCTACCAGGGCTCTCCTCAGATGCTGACTCCTCTCTGTGTTGGGAAGAAACAGGGTTTGGGGGTGTTCTTAGTAACAGAGCAGCCTACACTTGTTGAGCATTTACTGTGTGCAAGTACTTCGCTTTCTATAGACAACCTGAGTTTTAATCCTGCTGGGTCCCAGGGTCCTCACCTAGATTTGCAGTGGGCTCAGCAGGGTTGAGAAGTACGCCTCAGCTCAGAGGCGGGTGAAGCTGGTGCCTAAGGCACCAGGCTCGTGACCTCTGCGCTCCACTGCCGGTGGCCCTGTCCTCCTGTGCTCAGCCAATTGAAATGCAGATATCAGATGGTTGGGCAAAGAGCGGATCCAGTGAAGTTCTAGGTTATCCGCCAACTAATAGGGCCTGTGAAGTGGGAGGTTCCAGCAGTCTTCTCTTGGTAGAAAAATAATGCACACGCCAAAACCTTTCAAGGCGTGGCGTGTTGTCACTGATAACATTTCTGGGGCAAATGACCAAGTAAATAGAAGCCTAGATTGCTTTTTATGGGGCACAGCGAAATTGTTGTGAGTCCTTTGTGCAGGTGCCTTCTAGGGACAACTGTGACAAATATTACTGAAGGTAAAATAAGCTGATGAAAGTAACCAAAATTCACCCAAGAATCCTTATGACACAGCTGACAGTGTTACGTAGCCTCTCAGACCTTACCAAATCAGAGACTGTGGATTTTATGGGGGGGGGGTCGTTTTTTGTTTTTTGGGGTTTTTTTTGGTTTGGTTGGTTGGTTGGTTGGTTGATTGAATTTTTGTCTTCAGAATGGGACTATTTCTTCCAGGGAGAGGGGACAGCTTCATCTCTTTCCTAGAATTTAATTGGGAGAATGTATGTGTTTGCAGCTAGCTCATCACTGGGCATAGTGCTGCACGCCTATAATGCCGGCACTCTGGAGGATGAAGCAAGAGGTCCGTGGTGAGGCCAAGGCCAGACTGAAGTGTACTGAAGAGTGCTGAAGTGTATAGGAAGAGAGAGAGAGAGAGAGAGAGAGAGAGAGAGGAGGAAAGAGGAGAGAGACAGA